AAGGAACAAAGCAGGAGATAAATAGGAAGTAGAGAAGTTCAAATACTTCCCCAAATTACATATCTTGTTGTTTTAAAAATATTTCAATATATATGCTAATATGTTTCATTTATACAAATAGTTTATCTTGGTTGAAAAGAAAGTCTGTGTTACTACCTGTTTGTTTCTTTTTTTGGAAGAATCTTTTTGGTTTATGCCTCCCATTGAATAACTACTTTGAAGGTAATGATAAACAGTGTAATTATTATTATTGTTCAGTTATGAAAATGTTTTTTATAAAGTGAAGAGAAAAATGTTTGCCCGTAGTTACCAGATTTGTCAAAGATAAGTTAAGTTTGTCTATACAAAATCTAGTAGTTCACTATATTAATTGCTTTAATATTGAAGTGCATTTCTGTGTGATAAAAACATTGCTACTGGAATAAACCCTTAAGTGCATCACATAGATATAAGCAATCCTAAATGCACAGAAAGTACATATTTGCTAAATGAATCAAGGCGTAATCTGAAGCATCAGGGGTGTGACTGATATCTAACTTCATAATTTGAAAGGCCACATCCCAATTTATATGCACATAAATTTATGTGTGGGATAATGTTGCTTCAAATGAGAAAGAAACCTATTTTAATATGACTTTTGGAGGCCTTTTAAATAGGAGGGAACAAATCAGTGTATTTGTATTTTCCCTTTGAATTACCACAGTTACTCACTGGCCGGAAGTCTGTTCCTGTTTGTAAATTGGGAACTTCCGGCATGCTTCCTTCCACTGGTGGAAGATTCTGGGTCCAGCAGAGCCCAGGATGTGTTCATGCCTTGGGGGACTTCACGGTAAAACCCCGCAGCAATTATGCATTCAACAGCCCTCCAGTGGTTTGCAAGTTAGAGTGCTGAGCAATTTACCACACGGGAGGGCCTTAGGGGAGGAAGAATATGGCTCGATTAATTAGGACTTGTTAGCAAACTCCAACTAGTACCGTATTTAGATTTTCAAACCACTGATATATCAAATACCCACAAGACTTGGAAAGGAAGTAAGAATAGGCAGTTGAGAAAGCTAATTTATCCAGCATGGCATTATGTTAGCAGCAGACCAACTTTCATAGATTAGCTTTTCTAAAACAGAGAAATGGGAAATGGAATTGAATTTCTCTATCTTTGACTTTCTGTTTTTAATTCTCTTTTTAGTCATTTGTCTTTCACTTGTTTCTGGGTAAGACTAATAATCTTGGTAATCACCTATAGATTCATATGAAAGTTGAATATTAATGAATGAATTATTGAAGGTTATCTGGAGTTATAGATACTGGATTTTTATTTGTTCATCGTATGTTCAAAGCAGCTGTTGCTGGTATTTAGAAAAATCAATGATTCTTCATAATTAACTGGTGGTTTATCAAGATATTACTGAATATCTTCTCTGTTGTAAGTTTTTTTTTGTTATTTCTCTAATGTTTCATGACATGAAATCATATGGTCTTCAAATAATTACATAAATATTTTTAATGACTTTAGGTCCCATTTCCTCTTTGCCCTAGTAGAGGTGTCTGATTTCCACGTTTATACTTTATATATTTATGTAACTTGTCTAACCCCATGGTCATATCTGACCTTTGTAATAACTTTTTCAAAATGGCAAAATATCATGCTTTTGAAATCTTTAAAATTCAAAGGTGTCAAGTTCAATTGTAGTTTTCTAGACTTCATCCCTTTAAAAGGAGCTCAAGAGGATACCTTATTCTGTACAATGTTAGTGTACAGCTGCAATCATAGACTACAAATTATTGAGTTAATTATTTACTTCATAGGCAGACCTGGTGTTTACTGAATTTATAGTATATTATGGGAAATATGCTGCTTTCTGATAAATAGTTGAGCTGAAGCAGGTGAATTTACAGGAAAAGGGTAAGATCTAGGGCACTGGATCCATTTAGCTTTTCTACCTCTTCAGCTTATGCAGCTGACTTGAAAGGAAGTGATTGCCTCGTTGACTCAGACACTTCAGTGATTTGTTCTAACCTTCCTCTGGTGGGCAATTTCATCCTCACCCTCACAGCCCCTGAGGAACTGCATGGGTGCACACTGGAGGCTGTGCTGACCAAAGTTCATGTGCGGTGTAATTTAAGTCAAAGCCCTGATTATGTTCTGTGCTGCTGTGAGTTAAATGATAGGAAAACCTGATATGTGTGGAAGGGCAGGAAGCAAGTGAGTGTGTCTTTCTCCCCCAGTTCAGAAAAAATAGCATGAGAAATGTATTAACTAATGCTGATTCTAAACACTGCACAGCTAATGGTCAGAAGTCGGAAGCAGATTAGAGTATGAAGAATATTGACACGAACAATTCACTGATTGATTAGCTAATGTGTCACTTCTGATTGTGCTTCAT